CCCACTTTTGGGCCCCCCCTCCCCACATTTCCCCCCCATTTTAGGGTGCACCCTTCCTGTACAAAATGGCGGCAATCTCAGTTTACCTCACGCTTTTCCCGCCACTTTCGGGTTCTTCCCCATATTCTCATGCACCCTTCCCATATTTTGGGGTCCCCCCCACCCTGAGCTCTCTTTTTGAGGTGCATGTTCCCATTTTTGGGTCCCTCCTCCCCACATTTCACTCCCATTTTAGGGTGCACCCTCCCCATACAAAATGGCGGCAGTCTTAGTTTTCCTCACGCTTTTCCCACCATTTTTGGGTTCTTCCCCATATTCTGATGCATCCTTCCCATATTTTGGGGTCCCCCCCCACACCAAGCTCCCTTTCTGGGGTGTGTGTCCCCACTTTTGGGTCCCTCCTCCCCACATTTCACTCCCATTTTAGGGTGCACCCTCCCCATACAAAATGGCGGCAGTCTTAGTTTTCCTCACGCTTTTCCCACCATTTTTGGGTTCTTCCCCATATTCTGATGCATCCTTCCCATATTTTGGGGTTCCCCCCACCCCAAGCTTTCTTTATGGGGTGCATGTTCCCACTTTTGGGTCCCTCCTCCCCACATTTCACCCCCATTTTAAGGTGCACCCTCCCCATACAAAATGGCGGCAGTCTCAGTTTCCCTCACGCTTTTCCCGCCATTTTTGGGTTCTCCCCCATATTTTGAGCTACCCCCCCTATTTTGGGGGTGCCCACCCCCATTTTGGGGCTCCCTAAAACCCCTTTTCCAGCAGCCACCTCCTCAGGGGTACCCCCCAATCCCCCTTCAGCCGCAGGCTCCCGGTCACTTCATTCACCTGCACCTCCTGCACCCCCAAATCCGCCCGCAGCTCCCGCTCCAGCGCCTGAAAAAGGAGGCAAAAATAGCGGGGGTCAGCACCCCAAAAATTTAGGGGGGGACCCCCCAAAATGCCCCCTTTGCTCACCCAAAGGTCCCCCTCGACGCGGCGCAGCTCGGTTTGGAGCCGGTTGCTCTTTTTGGTGCTGGTGTAAACGGGGAGG